ACACTCAAAAAACAATGATTTTCATGAATGAGAAAATGATTACTTGTTTTTGTACATTTTATCAACCATTTGTATGTTGATTAAAGCCAGAAAATATATTCAGATCGTAAGAATCTTTTCTTGGGGGTGTAATAATGATTTACTGATACAAGTCCTAGTAATTAACCCATAGCTCAGAGAAGGAGAGGTGGATTCATACCTTTCCGAAGGGTATTTGCCCGGCAGTGAATATAATTGGAACACGGCTTTCTGATTTCCAATTCCGAATGGTTATCCATTACACCACCCTCACATCCAAGCTTACAGCACCTGGTATCCCCAAGAAGTTACCCATCTAAGCATAATGTTGCTTAACTTCGGTGATCGTGCAATGACCGGTGTTGTAACGTGATATGACTGTCAGCCTCTTGAATTCAATGGGAAATATTTGAAGCCACCGACTTTAAATAAAACTACTCTTACTATAAATCACTACATCCAGTTACATCAGAGCCAACGTATGATGCGTTGATCGATTAGGACTCCATCGTTACTTTGGTGCTATCTAGGGCACCGTCACAGAGTTGTTAGTCTTCGAGGCTAAGATTTCGTATGATAATCTTCAATCCAGTCTGTTGCTTCCGACATGGAACCTGCATTTTACGACATTTCAATCTGTGCGAATTTTACTCAATAATTGCTTAGCCACGCGAAAGAAGGTTTTGGACAGGAGCCTGTCACGAGATCTCCATTGGTTGTCAAGAGCCGGCTGGGTGATTTTCTCTCAGCGTTTGAAGGATCGTGGCTAGTGATTGGAAGAATAGCTACGTCTACGGCACTACTTTTTCTCTTGATTCTGCGGATGGATCCAGTGAGGATGTTCATCTGGAAAAATCTTATAACTCCATGAAAGTCTGTCGGCAGTTTCCGCATTCTATTTGCAGTAGTCAATATCACAGAAGGTGAAAGACTTTATTTAAAGAATCTTTGTTTTCCTTTCTTGGGACCTCTTTGTTACGCTGATCGAAAGCGAGATTAGCAAACAGTAGGATCTTTGGAAATAGATGATCTTCTATCTCTGAAACATGGCTTGCCCAGAAATACACAATTTGCTATATAATACGAAAAAAAAAATCTATTATTATCCGCTTGCAGGTCCAAAAACTAGGAACAGTTGGTTAGGATTCAAATTTCATTTGACAGTTGGCGGGTCTCGTTTCTATGAAAAAAATTCCTCAAACATTGAACCACAAAACATTTTCCTTACATTTTGTCTATTTGTAATTTTCTCTGTCAATATAAAACGAACAATACTAACATTGAAATTTCAGCATGTAACGAATTTCAGTTATAAAATGCACGGGTTTATTGACCAAGACATATTGTTTAGCAATCCAATCATTAGTGCCGTAGCGTCTGCAAACCGCAATGGATGCCCCATGCAGCGTGGCCTTTTAGCCACCCAAAGCTGTGCTTATGTGATGCCAAAGGAGAAATGTATATCTGAGGTAACTGAGGCGAGCGGGCAGTGATCTAACTAGGCAAAAAGCTACAATTACCAATGCTAATTTTCTAAAGGGAGGCACGGTGGAGTAATGGATAGCGGCTCGGACTGAGAAATCAGAAAGCCGAGTTCGAATTCCAGTCGAAACCATTACGTTAACTTACAGTATGAATCCACGTCCCCTCCCCAGCTACGGATAAATGGCAGGACAGACCGGGTCCTATAGCCTTTGATGGCAACTAGTCATCTGCAGAAAGAAATGGCAACCTACCGCGGGAAAAAAAAATCTGCCCCGCCAGTCATGTATCGAAAAATACATGATCGCTTAAGCGTGCAGCATTCATGGCACATAACTGACTGAATTTTCAAAGCAGACAATCTTTCTACCACTGCTTTAAAAATTTGGCGGTACACAATCATCTAAGTTTGTTTGACCTCGTGTCGTAATAAGCCAACCCTCACAAGGCTGGTTTGGTAGATTCTATGGTATATCTATATTTTGCTGTGATAGTTAATGTCGAAATCAATCCTTTATCAAATTATATCTGAGTCTACAAAGACCTTTTTTCAGGGATCGATAAATATCGATTGTTTATATTTGAGTCCCTAAGCATTTTTATGTCAATATAACTCAATGATATCTGGTCCAGTTCTCCCACCAAACATTTTTTTTGAGGGGGTTGGCTAAAGAGTCAGCAGGATTAAGAAACAAGTCAAATCAAAGGGTGGATGAACTCCTTTTCTATGACCAACGGCCACCATTCTAGAACAATGAAGTTGACTTGACCCTATGGCTATATTTGGTGATGACATGGCATTGAGAGGTGGAGGGATTCCTAGACTGGACTTAACTGTCAGAGCACACACACAAACATATTCAATCACTACAACACACACACACACACACATGCACACACATATATATATATATATATATATATATATATATATATATATATATATATATATTGAGTCATGTTTCATTGAGTCATTTAGACAGGTTTTGTCTACGTATTTTCAATTGGATCCTTTTATATTCAAAGACAATGTTTATTTACATTTACAACAGAATACCTGAACATAAACTAAAAATTCTTGAATCTGTATGTACACACACACACACACACACACATATATATATATATATATATATATATATATATATATAGATAGATAGATAGATAGATAGATAGATAGATAGATAGATTAGAAGAGCAGTCGATTCCGCTACATTGGTTTCAATGTTTCCTGGTCTAATTTAACACTAACTATATATATATATATATATATATATATATATATATATATATATATATATATGGCCATTTCGGTCGAAAACTAGTCGAGGAATCTAAATGGAATAATAATAATAAAAAAACGAAAGAATATTAATCTACAACCCAGTGTGTTTAATGAATTTAATTTTTTATTTTCTTATTGTTTTTTAATATATTTTATATATATATATATATATTGAAATTATATGAAAGAACAGTAAGATTTATAATCCGGTCGTGTTCTTAGCAGTAATTTTTGTTCTTTATATATATATATATATATATTATTATAAATATATATATATATATATATATATATATATATATATATATATATATATATATATAAGAAATGGACAAAGTCCGACAATTTATTAAAGACATTTTTATGTTTAACGTTGTTATTTTTTATAGATACAAGTATTTAAGTAAATGCTCTGTTTATAATAAACAGTATTAAATAACATTTATCGGCCTGAATGTCTGAGAAATTTTCATATAAAATATATATATATATATAATAAAAATAGAAATAAAGTATAACATAATATAATATATATATAATATTATATTATATTTTATTTCTATTTTTATTATATATATATTTACATATTATATTTTATTTTTTTTTATATATATATATATATATATATATATATATATATATATATATATATATATATATATATATATATTCTATAAACGCTCTTCTAATGCAGTTAACTGTTACTATGTTGCAAAACATGTCGAGAAGATTTTTTTCTAATCAATGGAAAACCGCCTTTGATATCATATGTGCATCGATTCGCTGGCACATCATATATATATATATATATATATATATATAGATAGATAGATCTGTGGAATAAAATAAACGTCTATCCTTTCCTTTTATAAACTCTATATTTCTATATATAGCCATCGATGCGTGTCATATAAATAGTAGATTCTTAGAATAGGCAGTCGAATTAAGCTGGTGTCGCTGTTCTGTCGCGTTGGGCTCGGCGAGGGACCTAAGCGACAACAGTTCGGTTTGAATTTTAATAGACTTTTCGTGACCATTACTGGGAATAATTTAAAAAAAAAAAAAAGTTTCAAAAACTGCTTCAAGTTTAAAAGTAAAAAAAAAAAAAACAACACAGGTTTTAAAAACAACACAAAAAAAAAGAAAGAAAAGAAAGGCTTTTTATAAAATCTGAAAAGGTGATTGGTTAATTCCACTTGGGCGTTGTCTACCCTCTTTCTCCGTATTTGGTTGCGTTTTCTCCTTCGTTCTCTTTCTTCTCCGCTCCTTTCTTCTTCCGAACGCTCGGCAAAAAAGGTAGAAAAAGAAAGGACAAGAGAAAATAGAGAAGAAAGAAAGTTCGGTAAAATGGAATATAATGGCCATATTTCAGCGATAATTATTACGTTTAAAATTATAACAATCCTTAAAATAATTATAATAATTACGTAATGATAACGATTAAATAATGTTGATACCAGCAATTTTAACTGAAATAACCTTGGAGAATGATAGTGATGTTTATGAATAATAACTGTCGCATTATTGTCATCCACAATGTATTCAAGATGAAGAGAAAGGTTGTAAATTGACGATGTTATTTTTTTCATTCGACATGCTCGCTCTAAATAATATGGATGGAGACACGTTATTTTATCAGAAAGTGATAATAGTCATCGAAGAAGAAGAAGAAGAAGAAGAAGAAGAAGAAGAAGAAGAAGAAGAAGAAGGGGAGTACAAATTAAAGTATGAACTAATGAAGGAAGAAGAAGAAAAAGTTTGAAGAAAAAATGAAATTGAAGAATATGAAGATGATAATGTTTGGAATGATAATGTGAAGAAAAATAGATATGCGAAAGACGTGCATGAAGAAAGAAGAATAAACGAAGGAAGGATGGAAAGGGACGAGGAAAAAGAAGAATAAACGAAGGAAGGATGGAAAGGGACGAGGAAAAAGAAGAATAAATGAAGGAAGAAGAAGGTTAACGGAAAAAGAATGACGAACAAAAAAAGAAGGAAAAAAAAAGAAATGAAGTAAAGAAGAAAGAACAAGAAGTGGAAATGAAAGAAAAAGAAATGAAATAGGAAATAAAGGAAGAAAAAAGAAGAAGAAATGAACGAAGAAAAATAACAAAGACAAAGGGAAAGGAACAAAGGAGACAGAAAATAAGAGGAAGTTGAAAAAAAGCAGAATTTTGGGAATAATAGGAATGAATGAGGAAAAGGAAAATCATTTTTAAATAGTAAAAATAACAATGTTCAGAAAAATAATAGGAAGAAAAAGAATGAAAACGAGAATAAAAATTAGAATAAGAGTGAAAGAAAGACAGGAATAAAATGAGAAGAAAAGTAAACGAATTAGAATGATAAAAAAGTGAACGAGAAGAATGGGAAAGATAAAAGTGAAAAAAATAAAAAATTGAGAAGGAGATGAGTAATAGACAGAAAAGAATGGGAAAAAGAAGACTGAAAGAAAGAACAAGAATGGGAAAGGGAAGAGTGAAGGAAAGAAAATGAATGGGAAAGGGATAAGTGAAAAAGAGAAAGAAAAAGACTGGGAAAGGGAAGGATGAAAGAGAGAAAAAGAATAGAAAGGGGAAGAGTGAAAGAAAGAAAAAGAATGGGAAAGAGAAGAGTGAAAGAGAGAAAAAGAATGGGAAAGTGAGGAGTGAATGAAAGAAAAAGAATGAGAAAGAGAAGAGTGAAAGAGAGAAAATACAATGGGAAAGGGAAGAGTGAAGGAAAGAAAAAGAATGGGAAAGGTAAGAGTAAATGAAGGAAAAAATGGAAAGGTAAGAGTAAATGAAGGAAAAAAAGGGAAAGGAAAGAGTGAATGAAAGAAAAAGAAGGGAAAGGAAAGAGTGAAAGAAAGAAAAAGTATGAGAAAGTGAAGAGTAAAAGAAAGAAAAAGAATGGGAAAGGGAAATGCGAAAGGGAGAAAAACAATGGGAAAGGAAAGAGTGAAGGAAAGAAAAAGAAAGGGAAAGCGAAGAGTGAAGGAAAGAAAAACAATGGGAAAGCAAAGAGTGAAGGAAAGAAAATGAATGGGAAAGGGAAATGTGAAAGGGAGAAAAACAATGGGAAAGGAAAGAGTGAATGAAAGAAAAAGAATAGTAAAGAGAAGTGTGAATGAAAAAAAGAATGGGAAAGGAAAGAGTGAAAGAAAGAAAAAGTATGGGAAACGGGAAAGTGAAAGAGAGAAAAAGAATGGGATAAAATAGTGAAGGAAAGAAAAAGAATGGGAAAGGGAAGAGTGAAAGAAAGAAAAAGAATGAAAAAGGAAAGAGTGAATAAAGGAAAAAAGGGAAAGGAAAGAGTAAAAGAAAGAAAAAGAATGGGAAAGGGAAGAGTGAAAGAAAGAAAAAGAATGAAAAAGGAAAGAGTGAATAAAGGAAAAAAGGAAAGGAAAGAAAAGAAAAGAAAAAAAAAAAAGAATGGGAAAAGGAAAGAAAGAAAGAAAAAGAATGAAAAAGGAAAGAGTGAATAAAGGAAAAAAGGGAAAGGAAAGAGTAAAAGAAAGAAAAAGATTGGGAAAGAGAAATGTGAAAGGGAGAAAAACAATGGGAAAGGAAAGAGCGAATGAAAAAACAAGAAAGGGAAAGGAAAGAGTGAATGAAAGAAAAAGAATAGTAAAGAGAAGTGTGAATGAAAAAAAGAATGGGAAAGGAAAGAGTGAAAGAAAGAAAAAGTATGGGAAACGGGAAAGTGAAAGAGAGAAAAACAATGGGAAAAAATAGTGAAGGAAAGAAAAAGAATGGGAAAGGAAAGAGTGAAGGAAAGAAAAAGAATGGGAAATGAAAGAGTGAAAGAGATTAAAAGAATGGGAAAGGGATGAGAGAATGAAAGAAAAAGAATGGGAAATGAAGAGCGAAAGAGAAAAAGAATTGGAACGGGAAGGAAAGAAAAAAAAAAAAAATGGGAAAGGGAAGAAAAAAAAAGATAAAAATTGGAAAGTGAAGAGGAAAGAGAGAAAAAGAATGGGAAATGGAAGAGAAAAAAAGAAATAATGGGGGAAAAAAAAGAAAATAATGGGAAAGGAAAAGAGGAAGGAAAAAAAAGATTGGGAAAGGAAGAGTGAAAGAAAGGAAATAATGGGAAAAAAGAAAGAGTGAATGAAAAAAAAAGAATGGGAAAGGAAAGGAAAGAAAAGAATGGGAAAGGAAAGAGTGAAAGAAAGAAAAAAGTATGGGAAACGGGAAAGTGAAAGAGAAAAACAATGGGAAAAAAATAGTGAAGGAAAAAAAAGAATGGGAAAAGGAAAAGAGTGAAGGAAAGAAAAAGAATGGGAAATGAAAGAGTGAAAGAGATTAAAAGAATGGGAAAGGGATGAGAGAATGAAAGAAAAAGAATGGGAAATGAAGAGCGAAAGAGAAAAAGAATTGGAACGGGAAGAGTGAAAGAAAGAAAAAGTATGGGAAAGGGAAGAGTGAAAAAAAGATAAAGAATTGGAAAGTGAAGAGTGAAAGAGAGAAAAAGAATGGGAAATGGAAGTGAAAGAAAGAGAAATAATGGGAAAGAGAAGAGTGAATGAAAGAAAATAATGGGAAAGGAAAGAGTGAAGGAAAAGAAAAGATTGGGAAAGCGAAGAGTGAAAGAAAGGAAATAATGGGAAAAGAAAGAGTGAATGAAAGAAAAAGAATGGGAAAGGAAAGCGTGAAAGAAAGAAAAAGAATGGGAAAGGAAAGGGTGAAAGGGAGAAAAAGAATAGGAAAGGGAAGAGTGAAAGAAAGAAAAAGAATGGGAAAGCGGAGAGTGAAAGGAAGAAAAAATAAAAAAGGGAAGAGTGAAAGAAAGAAAAAATGTGAAAGGGGAGAGTGAACGAAAGAAAAAGAATTGGAATGGGTTGAGTGAAAGAAAGAACAAGAATGGGAAAGGGAAGAGTGAAAGAAAAAAAAAAGAATGGGAAAGTGTAGAGTGAAAAAAGAAACAAGAATGGGAAAGGGAAGAGTGAAAGAAAGAACAAGTATGGGAATGGTAGGAGTTTAAGAAAGAAAAAGAATGGGAAAAGGAAGAATGAAATTATATGCCCTAGAAATTTTGACTGTCTCTTCCTGATGTTGGGTATAAGTTTCCTTTTTGTTTCCATTTTCTCTAAAACATCGTCGTTGCGTACATGTTTGGTCCATTTTATTCTCAGCATCCTTCTGTAGAACCACATTTCTGTTGTTTCAATTCTCTTCTTCATCTGTGAGAAGATTGTCCAACAGCTCAACTGCTATATAGGAGGACTGATATCACGCAACAGTTCAGTCTAGTTTTCTTTGTTTCTAATGAGATTTTTCTGTTTCTTAATACTCTGCTTTGCTTTTTGGGGGCATCTTTCGCTATCCCAATGCGTCTTCTGACTTCAGTGTCACCCTCTCCATCATCTGTTAAAACACTTCCCAGATATTTAAATTTTTGCACTTACTTGATTCTGGTATCGCCTATTTGTAATTTGCATGTTGGACTGTCTCTTTTGGTAACGGCCATGCATTCTGTCTTCTTGCTGTTAATGTTTATTTCTCTCTCTTCTTGTTTTCCGCCATTACGTTCTATATGAGTTTTTGTAGTTTTCTTTCCGTGTCTGCCATCAACACTGAATCGTTTACATATCTTATGGTGTTAAGATTATTGCAGCCAAGTAGGAATTTTAGTTCTCTCAGAATTGGTTAAATAAGTCCGGTGAAAAGACACATGAGCATTGCTCTCATACTCAGAAAAAAAAAAAAACTGTTCGTAATATGATTTTCTAAAAAAAAAAAAAAAAATCTACCACCAAGTGGATTTGGACAAGTGCAGACTGCGTGGCATGGATGTGGAAAATGTCACCCACATCATAAGCGCTTGTGGAATGCTTGCACTGAAAGAATACAACCGGCGCCATCATAAAATGGCCTCCCATCTCTATTGGTGCCTATGTAGAAAGTGTGGACTTGAAGTCGGACATAAATTGGATCGCCACAAAGCTGATCGAAAACGGCCAAGCCCAAATCTTTATGTTTAAATCCAGACAGACCCCATCCGCCAGGCAACCAAACGTAATATCAACGTCGTTGAAAAGAGAAAAAATCCCCCAAAAAACAAGAAGTAGCCTCCTTATCAATGGAGCTGTAACTGCTGACCATAAACTGCACTGATCTTAGACCACTATTGTCACAGTTATCATTGGGCCGTTGGGGGTCTTATACAACCTAAACAAAAGGGGCACCTCGGCGTGGTGGAATGGTTAGCAAGCTTGGCTTACTAGATCAGTTACTACTGAAAAGTGAGTTCGATCCTCACTGGATACCCCATACTTTCGGCCTTGTGCCACATCTAAGCTACGCTTGGAAAATCTCTACAACCTAAACAAAAGACTGTCGGAGTTAGCTCCTCCTTTAGCTCCTTAACCCTTCATCAGGGGTCTCTCTTCCCTGGCTATAAATACTCGCTGACCCCTCGCCTCTTACTCCTTTTCCCCAGGCTTCGGCATTATACCAACACGCAGATGTGAACGCTCACAGATACAGCGTTTCCCAAATTCTGGGAACACGCTATGAACAATACACGTACGTAGGAACACTCACCACAACACAACACACGCATATAATATTCATCACACACTCTGTCCATGTAACTGTCCAGGTAACTTGTAACCTTTCTTATTAATACGTATATTTGTTTACATATATTTATCGGTCTTGTGTTTGTTTTTCTTTGCCTTCTTTGGACTTAATTAAAGTCCAACTTTCTCATGTAGTTGGGCCGGCTAGCAGGAAAATCTTAACCCACGTGTGTTCTTCTATTTCTACTCAACATCGCCGCCACGCCACGCCACGCCACAAGACTTACATTAAGAAAATCGAAAGTCATTGTATCACATAGCTTCAGAAGTCCGCGCTGCTTGGCTCTGCAAATATTCTACAGAATTTGATATCTGTGTTCGTACGACTAGATAGGAAAAACCCATAATGCAAAATTTCTGGTTAAAAACGATTGGTTGGTCAATTGCTTGATTTTATTTAGCGGCACGTCAATATTCATGTGTTATTTAATAGCGAAATCTAAATATTTTGTACGTAAATTTATGCTTCAACTACAGATATTTTGTACATAAATTTATACTTTCAAGGTAAAAGTAAGCTTTTAGATATATAGTTTGTAGATCATAAAACGTATTGTTTCTAATTTTACTATAAAAATGTATTTTTATATTTATAGTAACCCAGTGATTCTCCTTTTTTCTATAAAAATGTATTGCTGGTCATTTTATTA